GCAATAACGTCTTCATAGCTCGGCTCGGGTTTAAGACAATACATAGTTGTCTTAAATGTCTCATAGTCACTTCCGAGACCCTCTAAAACACCGAAGACCTTTGTGATTTCATTAACCGGTTTCCCGATCGCGTTCAATTGGTCACAAATCAATTTGAACTCACGCAAATACTCAGTGAAGGGCCTATTATGCTTTTGACAGGATTGAAGCTTACCCCTTAATTCGAATTCTTTGGCCACAGATCTCTGAGTAAAACGATTACACAATGTATTCCATACCTCAGAAGCCGATTCAAGACCAATTATGAGTCCCAGCACATCCTCGGACACAGATCCACGACGAAACAAGTTGGTCAGTACGATACCATTGCTGATCTCCGGATTAAGGACATCTTTAGACTTTTCCCCTTCTGTGCGTGAGATTCTGAGTGGTGGAAGTTGAATTTGACCATTGATGAAACCCAACAGATCCTGGCTTCTAATGAAGCGAAGAAATTGTGTCTACCATAGAAGGAAATTTCCTTCGGAAAGTTTGATAGTCACAAAGTTTGAGAGGTTTACGTGTATAGGGTATGGGTATCTCGGATTTGGGTTTTCCATCATGATTGTGTAGATGGAGAAGAGATGAACTCAAGGAAAAGGAAGAAAACAAATATGGTAAAACCGGCTCTTAGTATCAAGCTCTGATACCATGAAGAAAATCAGAGGAATTAAGAAGATAATGATTCAAAGGTAAAGTTCCTAGGAGAAGAATGTTCTTCATTGAATGCCATAACACTTCGGCCCCGTTTGGTTCAGCATTTGGAATGCTCATTTGGGTTCTAAAGTCTCTTGGCCAAATGCAAATGGTGTTCGGCAACTTTTTTTACTCACTTTGGGGAGATGCAATTGCATTTCTAATGCTCTCCAAGGGACTTTTGGCCAATGCAAGATTGGAGGTGCCTTGGAAAGTTGCATTTTTTGAATGCAACTTGCACTGTTCATCGCGCACCATTCATCTTCCCCAGACAGTAGGTTCGGCCGCCGGCGACCACCGCCTGAGGGCTAGCCCGACCCTAGCGACCACTGCTTGGGGGTAGCGCGACCTTGGTTACGGCCGCCTGAGGTCGCGCGACCCCAGGTGGTGGTCGCCGAGGTCCAGCGACCCTAGGCGGCAGTCACCGGGGTTGCGCGACCCCAACGACCGTCGCCTGTGGTCGCCGGGGTCGCGCGACCCCAACAACCGTCGCCTGTGGTCACGTGACCCTAACGACCGTCGCTTGTGGTTGCGCGATCCCAGGCGATTGTTGCCGGACCTTAGGCGTCACCTGGGTTGCGCGACCTAGGTGACGCTTGAGGTCGTGCGACCTCAGGTCGCCTCGCCTGAGGTCAGGCGGTGGTGGCCGACGACCAGAACTGGCCGACGGTGGCAGTCGGTGATTGAGCTCCACCGAATTTTTTTTTTTAAATATTAGCAAAAGTCCTTTACAAAATATAGTTTTTACCAAACGGTATTTAGGCCAAAGTTGCTTTCAAATGTGATTTTAAAAAAATATTTACCAAACACTATTTACATTTCGGAAAAATCCTTTAGTCCAAAGGTATTTGCATTCCCCCAAAGTCGAACCAAACGGGCCCTTCGTCTCTTTATTCTACAGTACATACTGCTATTTATATTCCTTAACCTATTACCATGCTGTAGCTAGATTTACTCAGCTGGGACTAGGGTTAAGGCAGCCAAACGGTTGTGCATTCCTCCGTTTGGCTTGTGACACCTGTCTCTAAAGAAAATAATTCCTTTTGCCCTTTTTTCTCCACCTTACTCTGTAGAAATGAAATTGGTTTTGCATTTTGATGGTTCATCAATATTAATAACCTTATCACATTTGTTGTCGCCGCTGCCGCCGGCGGCCTCTCTCTCTCTCTCTCTAGCTGTTGAAGTTTGCGTATGTGTTGTTTTGGGTTGGTGATTGCGAGATTAGGGTTTAGTTCTAGGCTTCTCTCGGTCTGCTGCCGACGATTGTTGTTGGGTTTAGTGGTGTTGGTTGATTCCATAGTGTACCCTTGGTCGGAGTTTTCTAAGATCTATAACTTAGATTTTCATGGTTTTTCTTTTTACTAAAAACTTAGATTTTCATGGGTTATTCATATTTATGGATGTCCTTTTAGTTCAGCCTGGTCTGGTTTTGGATCTAAGTTGGGCGAAGTTTCATTATCCGCTGCTTTCCTTCCATGCATGCCTCTGTTTCTTCTCCTAGGCCGTGAGCTCAGAAAGACATGGCGAGCACAAACTGTTGACGGAGAAACCCTAGCTGCATGTCAATGCCTGATACTGTCCCTTATTCAGCTTCCCGCTGCAGCAAGAACAACAACGGGCTTCGAGTCTTCCGCCTTCTCATGTTCCTTGTTCAAAATCTGAAATAAAAAGCCATGAATCTTTAGCTATACGTTACAATAGTAGTTGGAAGAATATCAACAAGCCTCTGTTGACGCCGACTTATTATCGCCTTCAAAAGATGAAAATTTGTCATAGCTTTCTGTTCATTAATGGAACTTATGGGTTCTAAATTTCAATTTTAGCATAGTACTAATCCATCAGTTGCTAGTTCATGGCTCTTAGTTTCTCAGGTCAAGTTATTCACAAGGATATCTGAAGAAAGGTTCAATGCATGGGGCAGAAATTCTTTTATCAAGGCCATCGGGGTCGCTTGTAAACAGGTGCCATTTCCATGGAAAACTACCCAGCTATGAACCATACTTTGCCTAAAATCTTATCCATTCAAGTAGCGTGCTTCAATGATATTTTGTTGACACACTTTACAGGAAGCACTTGAGCAAGAAAGCAAATATGATATACATAAAACACGATGTGCCTATAATTGATTTCATAATTCAGTATGGTAACTCACCTTATTGTTAATCAACTTGTGGAGAGCAACGACACTGTGAATGAGGGAAGAAAGATATATCATCAGCATCATAAATTCGTTTTCACTGAAAAAGGTGATAACTTTCTGAAAGTTTCAAGTGCTCTTAATTGTTCTGTTCTCGTATTGTTTGCTTGTTTGTTCATGTGCTCAAGTGTAGGCTGTTCTGTTCTCGTGTTGTTTGCTTGTTTTTATTTTTTCGTTGGTGCTGTAATGACCCCGTGATACTGTTATGTGATGCGACTCTAATAAATGAGAAACAAAGTAGACGAAGGTACTTCACTTGCTTCATTACATCTAAGGTACTTTAGTTTAGTTAATAGTAATTTTAAATTTTAAATTATTATTAAGTGATTAACTATGATTGTTGTTTCTTTTGATTTCAGGTGATTCGAATTTGGAACAAATATTCATGGATGATTGAGGACCGAAGTTCTATAATTTAGGTTTTATGTTACGTGTATTGAACTTTTTATTATTTATTTTATTTTACGTATTAATCTTTTATGGATTGTTGCTATTAACAAATGAGAAGCTTTTATTTTTATTGTTGCGTTCATTTTCGTTTTGTTTAATTAAAAATGAAACAAAAAAAGGAATTTGTTAGACTCTAGAATCGATCCTAGAAACTATGACATGGTAGGTTTTAGAATTTAAGTTCCGACGAGTAAGTTCCAAGTAGAATTTGGAAAAAAATCTAGGACCGCTCACCCCAACCCACGATGCAGTCCTCTGCACATAGTGTAGTTTGGTCAATAGTCCAAGTTGGACTTTCCTCTTTTCTTTTCTTTTTTCCTTTTAATTTCTTTCTTTTCTTGGCGGCCAACTCTTGCACATTAGAAAATTAAATTTTCGTACATTTCCTTTTTCCTATTTTGCCTGAAATCCTTGTCCAACTTGAATTCTTTAATACCAGCAAAAAATCTTGATTTTCATGGTATATATTTAGGCGTCCACAAATAATAATAATTTATCTTAAGTCGGGTTTTGTTCACGAGCTCATATTCGAGATGTATTTTAATATCTTACTTGGGGGCACAACTTTTTTGAATTGACTAAGATTTGAAGTGTTCTCATATAAACCCTTAGCATTTAGATTTTATTTAATTACAATTTATGAGTTTGTAAGCAGTATAAAATTGTTCAGTTGAAGCTTAAAAATAGAGAACGGAATAATGTAGTTATGTTTTTTTTTTTGGGTAATGGAAATAAGGTAGTTATGTTAATCCATTCATAATTCATAATTTTTGTTTAATTGTAATACAAGAGTATTTCGTACCGATGAAATTCTAATAACATGAGGCAAATTATTCACTGTTACACACTACCTCTATATGTTAGGTACGTACACATTTTTGGTACGTTTTCATGTTTACTCGTGTCTACCGGTTTCGTTTGTGTTATCTTATCATGTTCTCTCGCTCCTCGATTGAGTATAGGAACTTGATCCCGGGAATGAGTTAGTCTATAGTTTAAGAATAAGTCTGGTGATATGATGTCCCGATCATTTCGACCATGATCATATAAGTCGCAGGAGAATGCAATTTGTCGCGAAATTTGAAGTCAATGTTTGGTGAGACCGTTCAAGCACCTATAATTAAAAGATGCGAGACGAGATCGATTCATCCTCTATTTAATTATACAGTGTCTTTTGACCAAAAAAAAAAAGGGTATACCGTGTCTAATTTCAATTGAAACCGATCACTACGTGATAATCACTCCAAAAACGAGCATTAGAAATCGATCAAAACGTGGCAATCACTCCAAAAAAAAAATAACATTAAAAAAGGCTAACATGGAAGAACCAGAGATCATCATTCGTGCACACGTCTTACGTTCTTCCTTTGAATTGGACCACGTACAAGCAATTTGTGTAGTAAAGTATATAAACATGTATAATCTCGCATAGATACGTATCTCTCTTGCCTCAGGGTTTATCACTGTATGCACGTCGGTGGTCAAACAGCTACACCATTCGAAGAGATCATACCCCACGTTGTGATGGTCGTGCAACGCATTAATCTATTCTCTCTATACATGAAGAAGAAGAAGGGCTTGCTCTTCAATTCGTGACCAAAATTCAAACCCTCGAGTGGAAACCATCGCGAACCCGACGATGTCGAGGGGAGGCAGATTGGCGTTGGCCCTGGGTCTCGTCCTCTCGACCCTGGCGGCCCCGTGCTTCGCCGCTCTCCAGGTGGGATACTACAAGAACAAGTGCGGCCTCGTAGATGTTGAGTCCGTGGTCTCGACCATCATGGCCTCTCGGTTCGCCAAGGACCCGTCCATCGTCGCCGCGCTGCTCCGCTTGCAGTTCCACGATTGCTTCGTCATGGTAAATCTCGCATAATTCATCCTATACTTTCCAGAGCATGTACTTCCAATGTACCCCAAAGTTGTCCTGATGACCCATTGATGCTAATGTTAACCAATTTTTTTTTCATCTTGAAGGGCTGTGATGCATCGATCCTGATAGATGGGACCTCAGCCGAGAAAACCGCAGGGCCGAATTTCAGCGTGAGGGGCTACGACATTATCGACGCAGTCAAGGCCGTGGTTGAGGCTATTTGTCCGGGAGTCGTTTCTTGCGCCGACATCATCGTCATGGCAACTCGGGATGCTGTCGCTTTGGTAACGGAAAATGACTTAAACTCGGCCACATTTGATTTGAATTTCATCGCGCGACGTTCGGATTTGCCCGAATGCTATCTTGAAAATTGTTTTTTTGCGTGCAAAACACATTCACTGCAGGCCAAAGGAGGGAAGTATAGTGTGCAATCAGGAAGGCTTGATGGCAAGGTATCGCTAGCCCAAAATGTGAATCTCCCAGGTTCTTCCATGACGGTTTCTCAGGCTGCTGCGGCCTTTGCTCAGAAGGGATTTACTATCTCGGACATGGTCGTTCTTCTAGGTACGTTGTTCTCTTTTTATTGACTATAATAGCCGACGTTCATATCAGCGATTTCCGATCAAAATTGATTAGATAGACTCAATTGGCACATATGCAAAAGGACTCTGAACCTTAATGTATGTATGGGTAATTTGGGTTCGTAGGTGGCCACACTGTCGGGGTTACGCACTGCTCTTTCATCCAAGACCGGCTCTACAACTTCAACGGACTGGGGAAGCCCGACCCGACCATGGATCCCAAGCTCGTGGCCGCCCTCCGACTGAGGTGCCCGAAGTTCTCGACCGTCAACAACCCCGTGAACCTGGACCAGAACGCTTCGAGCGCCCTCATCGTCGACAACTCCTTCTACAAGCAGATATTCCTCCGGAGAGGGATTCTGCAGATTGACCAGGAGCTGGCGGTGGACAAGCTGAGCAAGTCCCTGGCGATGACGCTGGCCAATGCGACCGACTTCTCCGCCCAGTTCGGCCGCGCCATGGTCAAGCTGGGGACGCTCCAGGGCCGCCTGCCGGGCGAAGTCAGGAAATCTTGCCGAGCCGTTAACAAACCCCGTTGAGTTGGTGTGTGCTCCGGCTGATTATTCGGTTTTGCACGCCGGCGCATGATTTTGACTTGGATCGACGTTCTATAGGAACAAGCGTCACGTCTCGATCCCATCAGTCGATGACTTTTTTATTTGTTGATGATGTGCAATAAAGTTTTTATGGTCTACGCATTGGCGTGTACTGGTTTGAGCATAACATTTGTAATGTTAGACATTCGTACTGTATTCCTACTCGAATCAATTATGGTTGTATAGAAACAAAACTGGTCGGCTGTAGAGGTATGCAAAACATATCTAGCCATTGAATCTGTGCCGTGTTCATCCTTCACTTTCGCATGCACTCTTTCTCCTCCTCCGCCTCAGCCTCTGACCGCCCGCTGGCGTCCTCGCCACCACCATCTCTAGCAACTAGATCATCGCCGGAGCTCTCTCTCTCTCTCTCTCTCCACTTCCTTTGTACGCTCAATCTCCATCGCCATTGACTAGATGTGGTATGGGAGGGTGATCAAGCCTGGATCCTGTTAGCCAACTCGTGTGACAACGTAGAACTCGTTGCCGCGCGAGTGATGCCGTGAGCGCTGTGCTCGAGATTCTTCACAAGCTCATGTGCACAGATGGTTGGGGAAATTTGATTACTAATGAAGATAGAGCAGTAGTAGTTCGTAATGCTTTGATGCGTGGTGATAATCATTATTCTTATGACAGTATTTGTTCCCACTATTGTTGCTGCCGTGTTTATAACAAATATACTTCTATGATATATACTAAAGCCACAAAGAAACGAGTTTGCTAATTATTTAATTTTTCTCTTGGAGTTTCACCTTGTAAATGTTGTAAAATTTGTGTGTGAAAAGAGAAGAAGAGAGAGTTATGGAGAAGAAGTTGTTGTTTTGAACAATCGTAGTTATTATGAACAATGTGTGATTTGGTCCATATTCACAATAACCAATCAGCACATCTTATCCTCACCAACACTACTTTTCATGATCAACCATCCATCCTTTTCACGTCAATAATAACTTCTTTTCATATCCAACAATCACTTCTTTTCATATCTAACAATTACTTATTTTCACGATAACAAACTGTTTCAACACAGATGAAGAGGAGCGACGTCGAGCTTGAATTCAGAGGAAGAGATAGAGAGTGTGCATTTTGGTTTTCGAAGTAAAACAAAACTATTTTAATAAAAGTCTTGTCGACAAGTGTTTTTTATTCTAATGTCCAGAATATATTCATTACACATTATACCAGAAAAGTAATGCATAAGAAAACCAAAGTTGAGAAGATCATTTCATTAGTTAACCTTAATCAGCAACTTAGAGCCATCGTTCATTAGATATAATTCTATACATATTAAGTTGGACTGAGGGGACACATAGCCATATTGTAAAAGGATCATGAGGCTCAGTGCTCGACATTTCATGTTTTCATTTGGTGGAGAGTTGGTAGGCAAGGTTTTTTCTTTTATTTTGGTTATTTTTAGCTTTTGGTTTATTTTTGGTATTAAAGTTGATGGGTGTTTGTAAAGGTTTTTTTTTGTTTCCAAAGTACCCTCGATCAATTTTAGAAATTAATAGGCCCAATTCCAAAAAAAACCCTCAACTTTATACTTTGTCCCAATTATAACCTGAACTTTTTTTTGTCTCAAGAAAAACCACAAACTTTTATCCAAGTTCCAAATCTACCCAACCGTTACAAATCCGTCCATTTAACGTCAGAAAAAAAAAAAAAACCAGAGAACCGGGAAGGAGCGGCGGCCAAGCCTTCGGCCGGTGGCCGCGCCACGGCCGCCGGGAAGGAGCGGGCGCCTCGCCCCACAGGCCTTCCGAGGCGCGACCCTCGCCGGCCCCGGGGCGAGTCGCCGGCGAGGGCATGCGGCCCGATCTGGGGGCGAGGTCGCGCCTCCCCCGGATCGGGGCTGCACGCCAATCGCCGGAGACTCGCCGGGCCGGCGAGGTCGCCGCCCTCGGAAGGCCCAGCCAAGGCCAGGCGACCCTCGCCGGTCCCGGGCGAGTCGGCGCGAGGTGTGCGGCCCCGTCTGGGCGAGGGCGACCCTCCCCCGAGATCGGGTGCCGCACGCCCGCCGGCACTGGTCGCCGGGCCGGCGACCCTCGCTCGAGATCGGGGGCTGCACGCCCTCGCCGACGACTCGCCGGGGCGGCGAGGGTCGCCGGCCCTCGGGAGGCCTGCCGAAGGCCGTCGACCCTCGCCGGCCCGGGCGAGTCGCCGGCGAGAGCGTGCAACCCCGATCTGGGGAGGGCGCAACCCTCGCCCGGATCGGGCCGCACGCCCTCGCCGGCGACTCGCCCGGGGCGGCGAGGGTCGCCGCCTCCGGAAGGCCTAGGCGAGGGCAGCTGCTCCTTCCCGGCGGCTGTGGCGGCGGCCACCGGCGAAGGCTTGGCCGCCGCTCGTTCCCGGTTCTCTGTTTTTTTTTTTTTTTTTTTTTTTTTTTGACGTTAAATGGACGGATTTGTAACGGTTGGGTAGATTTGGGACTTGGATAAAATTTTGTGGTTTTTCTTGAGACAAAAAAAAGTTCAGGATATAATTGGGACAAAGTATAAAGTTGAGGGTTTTTTTTGGAATTGGGCCGAAATTAATATATATTTCTTTTGGCTTTTTTTTAAGGGGTCAATTTCAAGACTAATATTAAAAGTTTGATTCTGCATTTCACCATTCAACAAAAATTATTCAAATGCAATATGCCCATGAATATTATCACGCCCCTGAACTGAACCCCTTTTAATTATGCTTGTTATTTGTTTTGTTTTCAGTTGGTTAGAATTTGGAGCAATCATTGACGGATGAATTAGAAATGAAGTTCTAAAATTCATGTTTTATGTTATGTACATTGAACTCTTTATTGCTTATTTTTTTTAACACTAGAGTCGATGCTTTTGGCAAGTGGAGATGTATACTGTTATTTTGGCTTTCTTTTTGCTTGTCTAAGGAATGAGTTGGATAATTCCTGATTGCTTTAGATTTCTATTTGGCCTCTACCGGTGTTTTATTTCTCACCGTTTTGTTGCTAAGTATCGCAATTCTAGATATTGTGTGTTCATCGACATGTACCTTGCAAGTGTAAGTTTATCCTTTAAAGGATTACAAAAACTGACAAAAAAAAAAAAATAGTTGGCCAGTTTTTTGGATCAACCGTAGGACTGGACCGGGGTTGGTTCCAAATTTCAAAATCAGAGAACCGATCTTGTTCAAGTAGGTTCTAGGATTGGACCGGCCCAACCATGGAACCACTCACCCTTACCGATTAGAACTCCATCATTAGAATTTGTGTATTCATCAATACTCTCGTTGGCAATGGCGATTTTTAATCGCAGTGGCAGATTTGGGACTAAAGTTTGGGGCAAAATTGATATTGGACGTAAAGTTAGGATTTTGTTTTTGGTAATTAGCCCTCCAATTTATATGTGTATATAGATATATATATACCCCCAATCTAGGACGTCATTTTCGTCTCCGGCGTAAATCATCCAACTGCTGGTGCCCCCACCTTCCCCTGTACTCGGGCGAGATCCGCCGGGTCGGATCTCCGATGGGAGGAAACGGGCCCGCCCGGCTCCGCCGAGGAAAATCTTTCTCCGCCGAGCGCCTCCTGGGTGCATTGTTGCCTCACGCTCCACCACCTCGTCCCGCCGGAGCCAGCACTTCCTCCGCCGCGGCCGGCGGCGATGAGCTCGACGAAGACGACGTCTTCTGGACCGGCGACTTCGCCGCCGGTAGCGCGCAGCCACCGTCGTCGGCACCTCCGCCCTCCTCCTTCCCTTCCGATCCGCGGCATCACCTCCGCAAGGCGTCGCCGGTCGGTCCGTCGGAAAGCTTCGGCGTCCTCGCGGCCCTGCCGGAGAACGAACCTCGCTCCGTCTTCAACCACAAAGCGTCAATCTCCTCCTCGTCTTCGTCCGCTTCCTCCTCGGCTTCGTCCTCGAGGATGATCTCAATCCCGACGGTTCCGAAGCCTCCACCGGAGCGCCTGTTGCCAGTTGCCTCGTTCAGCTCCGGCTCGAGGTATCACCGATCGGCGCCGGTGAACGTGCCGGCGTTCCCGCCGACGTTGATGTTGAGGAGATGTCGCGAACTCGGTGAGATCGATGATGATTACGACGACGACGACGACGGAGATGGAGCGATGTTGCCACCGCACGAGATTGTGGCGAGGAGTTTGGCCCGGTCGCCGATGATTGCGTGCTCTGTGCTTGAAGGCGCTGGGAGGACACTCAAGGGGAGGGATCTGAGGCAAGTTCGTAACGCCATTTTTCGGCAAACAGGTTTTCTCGATTGATGAATATGTACAAGTGTGCCCTTGAGGAAATTGTTGTCATCTATGAAATAATTTTGGCGGATTACTCGCCAATTCTGCGGATCTAGTAACTTGAATCGATTCATTCTTTAGTTTATCATCTATATCTATGTGGTTGGATGCTCAGTCGATGTGGCAGAGATATCATATTGATGATTCGGATTGAATTTCATAACCAGAACAAGAGCTACATTGGAGCATTTGAATACTTACATGTACCACATATGATTCAGTCAATTTTTGTCTCTACTTTTCCAATCCGAGTTATTCGGGGGTGCCCGTGAGAGCTTTTGCAACTGTCCATTTGGTACAAGTAATTTCAGCTGTTAGAGAGTTTGTGCTAACCATGTAAATTGCATAATAATGTGATAAGCTTAACAAAAGTTCGAAGACTAGGACTAGAAGTAGAGTGGCCTTCAGGGTGGAACTGTTTGTTCAAGTGACCTGTTTCAGTCACTTCATGTTGCTCTTCTAGTGTCGGTGAATTGGATTTTCGTGGAAGATGACTAGCTACATGGCAGAGGTCACAAAAACTTCTTAAACATTAGATGTGATTTTGGTAGCCAATTTACAACCTTGGCTTGCTATTTTGAAGAAGACAATTCTAGCAACATTCGCTGAAACAGCTGATTTACACATTATGACCGAAGTTATCTTTGTTGCGTGAAGACCTTGATGGAGAATATGAATGATGAAGATAACCTATGATCTCTTGACATCTATTCCTTGCTAATGCTGAAAAATGAGAGAGAGAGAGAGAGAGCGGATGGGGTGGGGTTATTATTTGATGTCCCTATTGATTCTCCCGAGCGCCCTTCACGATGGAGCAACTTTCAACTTTTTTTTTTTCTTTTTCACTCTTTGCAAGTTCGATTATAAGAAGCCAAGCGTCGTTTCGCAAAGTTTGCACCTGTGTATGTGCTTGACCTTATGGACTATGGATGGCAATTTTGAAATGCCAGATGGTTAACAACTGTTTGTTAAAGTTGAAGCTGATACTCTGAGAGAGAGAGAGAGTGGGGTGGGGCATTTGATGTCCGACTATTGATTCTCCCTAGCACCCTGCACGATGGAGAAACTTTCGACTGTTTTTTCTTTCACTCTTTGCAAGTTCGATTATAAGAAGCCAAGTGTTGTTTCACAAAGTTTGCATCTGTGTATGTGCTTATGGACTATGGATGGCAATCATGAAATACCAGATGGATAACAACTGTTTGTTAAAGTAGAAGCTGATACTCTTCCTTTTTGGCAATTTAGCACCTGATACTCTAGAAAGTGAAGATCAGATTTTCCATATCCTCCTTTATCCAATTCTGTGAAATTTTAAATTAAATCCTGATGTGGTATCGTGTATGCCTTTTGCAAATAAGTAACTAGCAACCCCTGAAAAAAGTGGAAGCCAAAATAATGCTATTACTTTTGAAGCTTTATTAACTCTTAGCGCATTTTTTTATTAAGCAACTCTTATCTCTAGTAACTTGCATATGGCTCAAGACAACGATTTTTCGCGCCTTCTATCTGCATCAAATTTAGTGGATAGAAGCCCCCTCGTCTCTTTGTATGTAGGAAGAGGTTTTTTAAATATTCTAACTACATCAGCGTGGTACAGAAGCTGCTTCTACGACTTGTGTTGGATCATACTGTTGGAAGCCCCTGTAAGAGCATGTCTCCTGTGGTGTTGCTTTATTATTCCAGCTTAGGATGGTAGCCATCCTACTTTAGACCATCGAGTTCAGAACTTGATGGTGAATCTGTCTTCTTGTTATTTGGGGTACTGCTTTGATATATATCTTGTCAATGCAATTTCAACTGTCATTCTCATGCTATATTGTTTCTTTGTACCTGTCAAAAAAACATTATTGCTCTTGCGTTCTCTATAAGATGAATTTGTCTTGTTTGATATTTACGGTCTTTCATTGATATAGCTCTTAACAATGCAATTTCAAGATAGTCATGCAGGTTAAATTATTTCTTTTGCGATCTTGACATCATGTGGTCAAACTTTGACCATGCTGATTCTAATTAAATTGAGTTTTGTCCTTTCCAATTTTCTTCAATGCTTTCTTTCTTTGTTATTGAATTGGCTGACTTGAAGTGAAACTTGGCAATATTTATTCACATCCACTATTATTGGGATGTTAAATTTGCATGTAGCATACTTCACTTTGAATGCAGGAATACTGAAGCTGGTTATTCAGAATAATAGAAAGCAATATGAGGGGAAATAAATTAATTTTCGTTCTTGGTCTTATGTTTGAAGACAAAATGATTGTTGATTGGATGTACCCACGGCCTTGTGGACAACTTTTGTACATCATGTATTACCTTGTTGGTAACTCAGGACACTAATAATTATGTGCTATCCTTACCATGTTATAAAAGTCAAAATTGTTTGTATGGGAGGCACTAGCAACATGAGTTATGTTTTCCTCTCCGTTTTCCCTTTCTCACCCATTTTGCGGATGTGGTGCTGGCTGTTATGAGGTGATTTCCGTGGCAAAATGCTTCCACATTGCCTATTTGCATTTATTGCCTATGACGCTTATTGATCTAGGGTGGCTGGACTACTGCTGCGGGATATAGAGATTCAAGACTGGTAGTTCTGGTGTAGTTTACATGGAGCACTTTCTCCTAAGTGGCAGATGGATGAAACCATGCAGTTGTCACATTTATTAAGAGTTGCTGTTTATTTCATCTTCAGGAGAATTATGTTGTTTTGTTTTCTTTGGCCAAGACTTGTGTTTGAGGAACATGAAAGTGTGGAAACGCAATTAATTCCACTCCGAAATCCTGGTAATAGTTTTCATCTATAGAGAATTGTGACTGGATTGTGCGGTTCAATTCTCTGGCCCGACGGACAGAATTCGATTGAAGATTTCGCATTGCCTGTCGTACTGAGATTCTTGTGGAGGGCATGTTAATAGGTTCTGAAAGGCAAACTCCTCCTAAGCAAGACGTAGGTACCAAATTAGCATCTTCTCTTAAGGCTTTGAATTCAATTTGGATAGTGCTTTCTCATGGGAATAACAATCAGGATTCTGTTTGTTTGATCGACATTTGACCTCAGAGAGCAGAATTGCTCTTAGCTCTGCTGCATTTCTGCACAATTTCTTGTTGCGATAGGATGTTGAAGAGATTTGTCCCGTTTTTGGCGATGGTTTTATTATTTTTGTTTGGCTTTCGTGGTAGCTTGTTCTTTTGATTTCATTTGATCAACATAGTTGACTAATTTGTGATGCTGGCATCCAGTTGATTTCACTTTTCTTGCTTGTTATGGAATGTTGTGCGGAATCTTTTTTGTTTGAGGCACAATGGACAAGTAAAGAATACACATGTTAATGATACCATGTAACCAATCAAACGTCTTTGGTCATCATAATTTCGGACAAAGAACGGCAAGAAATTGGGGGTGTCATGAAAGCAAGAACACTTGATTGGCTGGTTGATCATGTTATTACGCCCTGAAATATCAACGATGTATGATGTACTTTTTCCAGTGGACGATTGCCTCTGGGGTGTCCACGGACTCTCTTTTTCTTTGTTGTAGGATGGTGTTTGTTGACCATACAGAGGCGACTTTAATTTCAAGTGATGCTTGAGTAATACAAATGAACATCATCATGACTAAGCAGACGATTGCTTAACTAATGCAACAAAACATCGGCGGGTTGCTCTAACTGAGACTTTTGCTTTGCCTTTTTCCCCTCCTTTTGGATTTGTAACTGCTAGTGCCAGTACTATTGTGCTTAGATATTTCATTGCTGAGGCTTTTATGAGGAAAGATCACAACATAGCTAAATGATTAGTGTGGCTTTTGTGGGTTAAGTTTTGTCGTGTGACATATGAGTGGTAACCATATGCTTGGGTTCATGTTGTTCACTGCTCGTATCACGTGGTAGCTTACTAGTTACTATCATTCTATCTTTAGTGGACAGCAACTTTTTTGGAGGCTGCTTTCAAATCTTTCATCTTGGATCTGCTGCCAAAATGCATATTACACGTCAAGTTTGTCGATGGTGCACCTCTTCCAGGACCATAAAGGCAGCAGCATGATGTTCATAATTCCGTTGCATATTTCAGTGAATTTGTACATCCTTTTATCACGATGATTGATATCCTTTATGCGTCCATTTCATTTCGATTTCTCTCTTTATATTGACCATAAAGTTTCTCTCTCTCTCTCTCTCTCTCTCTCACACACACACTCACACACAAATCTCATGTCCATATCTGAACTGATTGGTTTTTGTTGTCAATTATGAATAGTTCCGTGATTTGATGGCTGTTGTTAGTCACTGGGCAATCCACTTAGTACTATGTTTGTAATGGAATGAAATTCAAAGTAACTAGTTAAGACAGGGTTGATGGGCGGTGGAGTGCGAGAGGGACGAGACATGATATTAAATTAATTAGTCGCGTAAACATTGACCGACCAGTCATGGCTGCAGCAGGACTCTTTTGGTGTGTGTTCTAGGAAGGTGGGTTTTTTCACCTTGGGATGTTCACTTTGCTGGTGGAGACTCTTTTTTTTTTTTTTTTTTCAAAACCCTACTTTTGGTTTGGACTAGTAGTAATGGTGCCGGCTGTGTGAATCTAAGCTGTTTCTCACGACACATTACAATGCTTTTTATGGATCGATCGATTGATATTGATGTCTTGAAACTTGCCTTACTCAACAACGTCGTTTGTTGCCAAATGTGATGTGAGCGACTTCACCAGATGTATTTTGTCTCTCTCGTTTGATTTATACATCCATCTCGAGCGTGTGATCTCTAAAATATGGCTGGGATACAAAAGCGTTTGTAATGGGTAAGTCCTCTTATGCTGCTAAGGCCCCTCTCTATTAGCTGTACACGACGAAGCTTCCTGATTCACTCGTCGTTTAAAGCTTCCTGTTGCTCTGAACATGAATTACGTTGAACCATGACTCGGGCAAGGTTTAGAAGGCAAAACCCATGAAGACAAGACCAGCGAACATGGTCGCTGACTGAAGTGGTTGATGTCTGAGACTTTTTAGATGCTTGTGGGGTCTATGAATGACTCTCAAATCTCTTCAAGCGGTTTCGCTTTGGAAAAGGGCGTTTCACCGTTCTCATCCGGGGGAAGGACGTCGAGAATGGGAATGGCGAACACGGAGTGTCAGCGGAACGCCGACAAAATCTCCGTCATATCTGGGACTAACTTCTCTGTGCTACCGAAGAAGCCCGACCATTGGTTCCTTTTCAGCCCCTATCCCATCATGAGAAAGC